TATACTGACCCCTTATACTGACTCTAATAACCCACATTATATAGAGCCCTTATACTGACTCTAATAACCCACATTATATAAAGCCCGTATACTGACTCTAATAACCCACATTATATTGAGCCCTTATACTGACTCTAATAACCCACATTATATAAAGCCCTTATACTGACTCTAATATAAAGCCCATTATGCCCCAACTCTAATAACCCATTATATAAACCCGTATGCGACTCTATTCCCATTATATAAACCGTAAAAGCGAAGCTCTAACCCACGTTATATAAAAACCCGTAAACTGACTCCTGGCAACCCATTCTATAGAGCCCGTATACTGACTCTTATAACCCACATTATATAAAGCCCGTAAACTGACTCTAATAACCCACATTATATAAAGCCCGTATACTGACTCTAATAACCCACATTATATAAAGCCCGTATACTGACTCTTATAACCCACATTCTATAGAGCCTGTGTACTGACTTTAACCCACATTATATAAGCCCGTATGTGACTCTAATAACCCATTATATAAAACCGTATACTAGCTCAACTATATAAGCCGTATACTGACTCTAATATACATTATATAAGCCCATGGCTTAAACTCCTGTAACCCACATTATATAAAAGCAATATACTAGCTCTAATAACTATTATCTCTCATACATTATACTGACTCTATATACATTATAAAACCGTATACTTTCACTCTAACCCATTCTGAGCCTTATACTGACTCTTATAACCCACATTCTATAGAGCCTGTGTACTGACTTTAATAATCCACATTCTATAGAGTCCTTATACTGATTCTCCAAATTATAATAAAATTGTTCGTGGATTCTTAATAAAAGTAAACATCACACATAAATTTACAATAGAAATTCATGTACTGTAATGCAAGATAATATATAATAAGTGTATTTTGTTATAGGATATTGCACGGTGATATATAATGACCAATTGTCTTGTACCAAATACGACGTCTGGTGGAACCGAAGGTAATTCTTGACTGTTTACATAGTTACGATAATCATTACGCTGAATTGATGCATCACTCTCGGTTATTAACAAGCATAAGGAAAGGTTTTAACGTAATACAGTGCAGTACATAAAACACATACAGAACATAACACATACATTACATAGCACAAAGTACATAAAACACATACAGTACATAACATACACAGTACATAGCACATAGTACATAAAACACATACAGTACATAATATACACAGTACATAACACACATACAGAACATAGCACATACAGTACATAACACATAGTACATAAAACACATACAGTACATAACATACACAGTACATAACATATACAGTACATATAACGAAATTACAAATGGAGAATAAAGTGGTTCATATCTGCATTAACATTGTTCATATCTTTGAGACATTACGAAATAATAACATTGTTTCTTTAGATACTTTAAACTGTTTGAGTTTAGTGCCAAATGTTTACTTTCTTTGGTGGACACAGAGCCTCGGGGAGTTGTGTTCACTGCTACATCACTGAAGGGAATGATACTTCTCTCATAAACCCCAAAGGAGAATTAGCCATAGAATTTTTTTTTCAAGCTTATTAATATCCACAAAGAAACAGCTCCCCAGCAAAATATTTTCCAAATTAGAAATTATTTTATAACAATATTTATTCCCGTTTATAAAATGATGAGCCTTGTAAGGTCTTAATACCTATAGAATATTAAGCCATTTGACCTAAAACGGTTTCAAAACATTTTAATGATAGTGTTTACTACTTGCCCAATTAACCTTCGATGTAAAAGCGTACTCAAAGTAATTGGGTTGTTTAGTTTTATCCCAGTATGTAGTTCTCTTTAACGAGTTCTTTCAATTAAATTATAATTTATCTAAGATCTTATATACTGTTCTACCGTCTTATAGTCAATGCTGCGGTGTGTATAACAATGGAAACTATCAACTTGGTCCACATCTTAAGAGACGCTGGACTCTGCTATTGTTCCCTCTTGGTTAATAACGAGGATGACTCACTATAGTCTCTTGTTATTTTCTGTCTCGTATTATTTGACCCAACTTTTGAACACTTAGTTAGAATTATTGTTGTTGGTTCATGTTGGTCTGGGCACAGTGACCCCATAACGGAAATAGGGACAGATTACTACACCATCGTCCCTTGTTCCTTCTCATCTTCTCTCCTAACCCTCTCTTTCTCCCTCCTTGCCTCGCTCTCTCCCCCTCCCTTCGATTCTTCTTCCTTCCCTCCGACTTTCTCTCCTTCACTCCCCCTCTCTCTCCCTCTCTCCCTCTCCCTCCACCGACCCAGTCATGTCTTCACCCCACTGACTGTCATCCAAGCATAAAATCCAAGCCTAAACGAAACATGATTTTTCCCGCAACACACACACACACACACACACACACACACACACACACACACACACACACACACACACACACACACACACACACACACACACACACACACACACACACACACACACACACACACACACACACACACACACACACACACACACACACACACACACACACACACACACACACACACACACACACACACACACACACACACACACACACACACACACACACACACACACACACACACACACACACACACACACACACACACACACACACACACACACACACACACACACACACACACACACACACACACACACACACACACACACACACACACACACACACACACACACACACACACACACACACACACACACACACACACACACACACACACACACACACACACACACCTAACCCCAGCTGGCGTGTTATCTACGGTGGACACAGGTCATAAACAAATAATTAATCAAAGTCCGTTATCAACCAACCTATCAAGATGAAAACAATAATAATTCCTTGTCTATCTCCTCCCTGATATCATCGTTGAAAGGAATGGCTGAGAATTCATTTAAGTACTCAGTCAAGACCCTAGTGAAAGGAATTAATTCATGTACTAAGGCAAGGTGTAAATATAAGGCATAAATTCATGTACTCAGGTAAGATCCAAGCGGAAGGAATTAATTTCAGCATTCATAAAAATCCAAACCAAAGAATATTAAAACAGAGACAAGAGATAAAGAGCCGCCTGTAAGCTGGAGGTTATATCATCACGGGGAGGACCAGTGGACCTTTTATGAGAGAAAATAACGCGTACAATGATAACACGTGATCGGCTTTTGTCATGGGTCAGCCATGGGAGGCCGCCCACCAAATGCTTTTAACAACTAATTCACCTGAAGGTCAAGTTCCGTGATATTTTGTCCCTGTCTGGCACGGCATGCGAGCCCCCTCCTACTGGGCACGCCATGTTGGGGCATGTCATGCTGAGGGTCATCACGGGGCTCAAGTATCCTCGTATCTGTAAACCTTCATAGTCTACTGTCAACACTTCATTCACACATTTTATCGTGCAGTTGGTTTAATATCTTTGAAACTCTTAGAATAAGAATTTATTGAATTCATCTTTCAAATTCCTGTTTCAGCAGTGATAGGACATGAAACTGAAACGCAAATGGTGAAAAAGTTACACGAGATTTTTTGGGGGTCCCTTAAACCGTTAGGGGAAGTACGGTTACATCACACTGCGTACTATGTTTTCTATACCAGGAAGCAGTGTGGCCAGCGGATAGTCCTCCGCTCTCTCTTTCCTAACTGTAAAGTTTGTTACCCATTCAGAGCAGGTAAACTGGATACGTACCAGCGACTTATAGGAGAGGAGGCGACCGCTGTATCCACTTGGCCGCTGCTCCCCTACATGGGAGTTATTACTGTTAAAAAACTGACTCGACTCGGTAATAATGGAGGGAACATATGACTTTCCCTAAAACCAGGTTAAATGGAGGGCGAGAGAGGGATGGAGGAGGAGGAGCCCACCTGCTCCTGGTGTGTGACGGGAGATGGGGGGGAGGAAAAACACTTTTTTTTTTTTTTTTAGTGGAAGAAGAGTTGAGGCAGGAATTTATCGTCAAGAAATGGAGAGGGAGGTAGTAGCTGGGGAGCTGACCACCCTACTACTGACTAGCTGAGTATGCGCTCCTGGGGTGTGTGTGTGTGTGTGTGTGTGTGTGTGTCGGCAGTCGGAGGAGTGAGGGGAGGAAGGACCACCCCCCCTAGTGTGGGCCAATAATCGCCGCCTCACTCACCTGATGGTCGATAGTATAATGTGGAAGTCGTGTCTATATTTCCTGGGCGGTAACATCTATTGATAACCTTTGTCTCATTATCTTATTTTGATCTTTTTTCTATATATGTGTTACACTTTCCTTTCTACCAAACAAACATAATTAAGGAGATGTATTCAAGTAATGAAAAACGTGATTCAGTCGTCAGTTTTAGTCTTTAAACATTAATAAACGACTAAACATTCGTGGGAGAATAGGAAAAGATAGAGAGAGAATGAGGAACTATAGCCGTCATGCTAGAGTTTATTCTCTTCTATTATCCAAATGATCACCGTAGTCCACATTAGATCTCGCCGTCATTACATACATCTGCCGCGATCATCAATTTCTTACGTCTTTCATAACTTCACAGTCGTTCCTCACAGCCTGCTCACAACTCACAAAAAAATACGACCGTATATATTTATGTTGGGAAAAATTATAAAACAATATCCATTTTCCCTTTTCTTTTGAGGTTAGGTGAATTTTTTTTATCGTGCAAAAAAAATCTTTCATTATCGTCACCAGAAGAAAATATTTTCTTTATATAGTATTGTGTTTTTTGTATTGGAAATGTCACCACCTTTCTAGTAATTTCTCAACCTTGTTTTAGAATAATGTTTACTGATATTTACTTTGTGTTTGTAACTAAAACTCTAAGTCTTCCTGAAATAAGTCTACTCGGTGATTGGTATATTAGATTAGGTGAGCAGTTTCAGATACATAAATCACGAGACTCGCCATTAAGTTGATTCATTATTCGGCCTCACTTGATGATGTTTGCTCCAGCAGGGGTGGCCACGGATGGGGTGAAGGCAACGGAGGAGGGGTGGTGGGAGGAGGGGTCTGCCCCCCAGCCTCAGTTCGAGAATACCCCTTCTAACGTCACAGCCAGAGTGGGCGACTCCGCCTTCCTGCCCTGTACAGTATCCAATCTCGGCGACAGATCGGTAAGTGCCTCTAGTTATCTCTGTATACTTGTGAGTGTCTATATTGTACTGTATCCGCACTGCCCCTATCACAGTAATCTTCCATAGCTGCCACAAACTTAAGCATACGGTCACGTTCACTCCAGGAGCTGGCAACATGAGAGGTGAGGAGTTATGGAATGCTGAGGATGAGAGATGAAGGCGAGACGTGAGAATAATTTTTTTATATACACTTGAAGAATGAACATTGAGGATTATGAGTTATCTGAGCAGTACAGGTGAGGAGTTATAAAATAGCTAAGAATAAAATACTCAGACTTATGACCTCATGGAGTGTGACAGATAGTCATAGTGTGATGTGTGAAAGACTCATCAATAACAGGTAAAGATGTATGAACTATCAGAGTACGAGAGGTGAAGTATTAAACAAGACCAGGGGGGATTTATGAACGACTGGAACATGACCGGGGAAGGATTTACGTTATCATTATCAGATAAGAACTCTGATAAGAATTCTATAGTAACTACGTACATTAATAACAAAAAGTCTTCAAAATCTGCAAAGTTGTTCAAGTTAAGGAAATTACTAAGTACCGTTTTAATACACAAGTATATGAATAGTTTTAATGAGAAAGTATTTGTATAATTTCAATGCATATGTAAAGTTTTAATGAGAATTTATGACGTCACGAGCATTAGTAATATTAACATGATACATAAATTCAAAACAACAGTGACACATTTTCTCTGCGTCTTAATCATCTACTGTACATTCATCATACAGTTAACTGATAGAGACAAGTGTCCTGCGTTAATACTTGATTATAAATTCTCACCTGTTATGTTCCAGTAAATTCCCATCAGGTGTGTTACAACCAGGTGTGCTACTACCAGGTGTGTTACTACCAGGTGTGTTACTACCAGGTATGCTACTACCAGGTGTGTTGACAGTGTTGTTATACCCTGCAGGTGACTTGGATGAGGCAGAGAGACCTCCACATCCTGACGGCAGGCATCTTCACCTACTCCGCCGACGATCGCTTCACGGTAAGTTCAGTCCACCTTGCTGACAATGTGGCTGAGTGACTGATTATGTGGCTGAGTGACTGATTATGTGGCTGAGTGACTGATTATGTGGCTGAGTGACTGATTATGTGGCCGAGTGGCTGATTATGTGGCCGAGTGGCTGAATATGTCGCTGTCTGACTGATTATGTGGCTGATTAGCATTTTTATTGTCTTCTGGTTGATTGGTTGGTTGGTTGGTTGGTTGGCTGGCTGATTTGTTGGATACTTGGCTAGTTAGTTGGCTGGCTTTAGTTTTTGCTGTTTAGCTAACATATGTCAAATTGGCTGGCTGGATGACTGTATGTCTGGCTAATTGGCTGACTGACTGGCTCTAACTAACTGGCTACCTTTCTTGATAGCTGTCTGGCTGCGTGATTGGGTGATTGATTAATTATTTTTTCTCGCAAGCTGACTTATAAATCACTTTACTGACTTTCTGTATGACTGATCTGCCTGACTTATGATCTTATCGAGTGGTTCACAGTTTACTTGTTACGTTTGGATGATCCAAAATTTGCTTTTCTAATCCAAATGAATGGTTGACTGTATAAATGACTCTTCACTTGTATTACAGGTTGGTTAGGTTAGGTTTTGGTGGCGACCTGTGGTGTAATGGTCAGCATTCTCCCCTCGCAAGCGAGAGGACCCGGGTTCGATCCTCGGGCAGGGTGAAACTACGGGCAAGTTTCTTTACGCCATTTGCCTCTGTCTACCCAGCAGTAATTGGGAACCTGGATGTTAATCGATTTGCGGATCATAATCCGGGGTAAAGGTTAACCAGTGCAGTTGGCGAGTTGTCCGGTCTTCTCGGATTATTCCTTGACACTGGGTCATGCAGTTCGTTAACTTGGGGTGTGGCTGTTGTGTTGGTGACAGCTTCTACACCTTAAACAAATTCATGCCTAGGTGGCCCTTGGGCTGGCCATCCTCGTTACACGAGGGGCAACCATTATATAGGTTAGGTTAGGTTAGGTTAGGTTAGTTTGTTTCGTCGTAAGAGCCGCTCGATTAAGCTTACCAAGTGACTGGCTGACAGACATCCAATTATTATCCAAACTACGACTTCTTTGTTGTATAAGTCACGAACGTAATCAGCAAAGAGAGAATCACAAACATATCTACCGGGAGAGAAAGCGAGAGAACGAAAGAATAAGCGAGAGAGAGAGAGAGAGAGAGAGAGAGAGATGGATGGGGGAATCGCGGCCTGACACACAAACTCGGTAAGGTTATGGGGCTAAAACTTTCTCCAGTTTTACCCTCGTGAGCCCCAGACCCTCGGCCCTGAATGATTACTCGGGTCCATCAAGGTGCTCATGATGCTGCTCAGATATCTGGAGAAATTTTTATCTTTCTTCGTCTTCTTACTGGTGGTTAAATTCTCTCCTTATCCTTTTGTCTATCTGAATATCTGGTTCTCTTCCCTTCTCTCTCTGTTTCTCTCTCTATTTATCTGTTAGTTTCTCTCTCTCTCGCTCTCTTTCTCTGTCTCTCCGTGTCTCTCTCTCTCCGTGTTTCTCTCTCACCAAACAGTGGGAGCTTGACGCAATATCTTGATTCATTAGCTTTTAACCCCATTGTTGAGGCTTCCTGAAAGGGGATGCGATTAGTTATGAAGCTTAGAGAGGCAGAGGGAGACAGAAATAAAACCCTTTCTCTTTTCACACAACCTCAACTTTTCCTGTACATACACATAACAAATCCTCCCTTTACATGGCGTCATCTACACAAATCCCATAACATTTATCCCTATACCTCACCCAGTCTCCCTCTCCTGCTCTTACCTCAACAATATCTTACTATAAATCTTCTTCTGGAACGTCTCATATGTCTATGTCATCCATGGCCACAATATGTCTATGTCATCCATGGCCACAACATCTCAAGAGACTTTCATCCATCTTTACCTCTTATGTCTCCGCTAATGTATTAATTTGTGTCACGCCATCATTCTTCACTGTCTCTTCGTATAAGTGGAGGTTATTGTCTGTTTAACTCCCGTCTGTAGCTCTAAGTTTACTCATCTATATATTGGTGATGTAAGAATTTATTATTTCTCAAAAGTGTTGCAAGAAGACCACCACCTTTTTGAAGACGTCTTGTTACTTTTCATTCGTCGTAGCGGAACTTAAAGTAAATACTGAAGGTACTTAATCTCTTTCACCATCCACAGTAAAGAGCCAATTTACTCTTAAATTGTAGCTTGCTTTCATTATCAGCGCCTTTCTGAAGTCATGAATTTCACCCAAATTTCCAGAGTGCGTAAATTCCAGAGTGCGTAGATTCCAGAGTGCCAGAGTGCGTAGATTCCAGAGTGCGTAGATTACAGAGTGCGTAAATTCCAGAGTGCGTAGATTCCAGAGTGCGTAGATTCCAGAGTGCGTAGATTACAGAGTGTGTAGATTCCAGAGTGCGTAGATTACAGAGTGGGTAAATGGTTTTTGTACGCTCCTGTAATTCTCGTGACTCGTTTACATGGTTCTGGTATACTCTGTTGCAATTATTCATACAATAGTCCTGTATTGTAACTTGATAACTACAGTAAAGAGAAATGCCTCAACAGTGTGATAAGAGACTGTTCTCTCTTTAGTGTTATAGAGTGAAGACGAGCGATGCCTTTACTCGCCACAAGGTCACTTTCCCTCGCGAGTCTCCACACTTTCCACGACACAACCATTCTTCACTATATCATCCACAACTTCTTCGTCTTCTCGCTGTTTTCCATTTTCCTCAGACACTATGATCTCTTCACCTCTCTTTTCTAATATTTTCCTTTCTGTTCCCATTTTTCCGTCTCTTATAACTTGTGATTTTCCTGGACCAATCCTCGCGTCTCTTAAATCTCTTCCACCCTCAGAACCTTAGATTAATTCTCCACCATCTGTGAACATTTTAAATCTCAGCCACCAACTTTCTGCAAGTCTTGTTAACGGAGTGTTTGCATGTGCATGAATATGTGTGTGTTACTGGACGGGGATACAGATACATAAACAATTCTCTCAAAACTGTCTAGATGAAGCACAGTTTACAATCATGTTTCTATTAAACCCTTGGCAGGTGTTCAGCAGGTGTGTCGTGACAAGAATAATGGGGATGATCACGAGGCATAATTCGCCATTATACATAATGAGGGAAGACTTACAACGTAATCTCTAATTGGAAACTCAGTGTTTACCTGAACTAGGTATTTTTTCGTAACAGTAAAAATAATGTAATCTATCATCGCTCAGTATACATGAACGTATGAAATACGTGACGAGTGTGTTGCATTACATTGCATTACGCACACACACACACACACATACATAGGTAGTAAGCGGCTACCAATCAGGGAGGTACTACCGCCTGGGAAGATATTGGAAGCATAATGTGTTGTCTAATGGTGGACCCTGCTGCCATATGGCATCACGAAAATTGTGACCAAGTCCCAAGTTGCTGGTCTGACTTTCTGCCTCATTTACACACAATTGCAGGGTCTCAATTGTTTCTCTTACTTAAACAACACAACATACATACTGTGTATCGTTTCTCACTCTTGATTTATTTTTTTCGTTTTTGTATTTATTTATTATTATTATTATTATTATTATTATTATTATTATTATTATTATTATTATTATTATTATTAATATTATTTGTATTATTTTATTTGTATTAATTTTCAATTAATTTTTATTAATTGTTGTAATAATTATAATAATAGATATTATTAATATTAATTATTATAATTATTATTTTTTTTTTCGCCCCCCAGGCCTTGATGTGCGTCAGTGACCTGTGCCCGGGTGGGCTAATCCCCGTAAAAAAAATACACACACACACACACACACACATACACACACACACACACACACACATGCATACATACATGCATACATGTCTGACAGCTTTTCCACTTTCTCACTGAAAGAAATAGACTTTCACTGTTCACAAGAAGGGGTTACAGCCAGGGGTGTGTTGGGAAGGTTAGATCTGGTTCGCCCAAACCGTTTGCTGAATTGTGTTTGCATCACCGAACCGTTTGCTGATTTTTAAACAAATATTTTTCAATCAATAAAATTTATCTTGAAACGGCGCAAAAAAGACCTTATTTTCCTTACTATTAACTACTACATGTTACACAAATTAGAACAAGTTTAAACTGATGCCATTAGCGTCCAATACAAATTTAAGATCCACATGAACATGGTCGATCATGTTTCACTTAAAATAATAGGAAATTATAATGACAAGCGCCTTTAAAATGACCTAAATTAACTCTGTACCTGCAGAGTAAATTAAAAAAAACAATGTAATTAGCCTAATTTGTGTCAGGTTTGAAAACTTGAAACATATCACCTGCACCCCGCCTCAACCCACCCACTCTGACACATCCCTGCTCCACCACCCCCCCTCCCTGCCTCAACCCACCCACTATGACACATCCCTGCTCCACCACCCCTCCCCGCCTCAACCCATCCTGCTCCATCACCCCCTCCCTGCCTCCCTGTACATCCCTGCTCCATCTGCCTCAAGCCACCCACTCTGATACATCCCTGCTCCCATCACCCCCCCTGCCTCCCCCCCACCCACTCTGACACATCCCTGCTCCATCAAACCCCCGCCTCCTGCCTCCAGCCTCCCACTCTGACACATCCTGCTCCATCACACCCTCCCTGCCTCAACCCTCTGACACATCCTGCTCCACCCCCCCTCCCTGCCTCAACCCCACCCCTCTGACACATCCCTGCTCCACCATCCCCCCTCCTGCCCTCAACCCCACTCTGACACATCCTGCTTCATCACACCCCCCCTCCTGCCTCAACCCACCCATTCTGACACATCCCTGCTCCATCACCACCCCCGCCCACTGACACTAGGGCTGTATAAGTTCACAATTAATTTTTAATATAAAATACTTAACGTAAATAACTAATAACCAAACCAACATTTTTTTTGTTAATTTGACGTATTTGTCAGTAGGAAACAATATGTAATAGTATTAACTGAGAATTAAGTCATACTACGGGATGCAAATCAATTGTTTTTCTTAACCAGATTATATCACCGAAGGGGCATAAATAATTGTTGCTTTGTGATATGATTATTATACTAGAATATCGTGCCCGGAGTATCAAGGGTGACCAGCAATAACAAATTGACTAACTGTGAACTAAAAACATAACCAAGCTTAACAATGACAGGGAAGTAGGTCACAGTGAGAGTATTTGAGGCTGTGAGGAGGCAGGGCTGAGTAGACAACACCAATGGAGGGAAGTAAACCCACAGATACGAATGAAAACATGTTAAAAAATATGAGTGACAGATCCATGTTTTTCTTTGATCTCTCTCTCTCTCTCTCTCTCTCTCTCTCTCTCTCTCTCTCTCTCTCCAAATGAAAACCTTGATATTCCCTTTAAAAGTAAATTCACTCACAGAAGGTCGACAGCTTTGTAAATCCCGAGTAAAGGATATCTGAAAACTATATTTTTGTGTATGGTAATAACACTGTAGGGAAGGCTGAAGACTTAGTATTGATCTGTTTACCAGGAGCCAGAGGAAGGTGTTGCCCATCAGGTATATATATATATATATATATATATATATATATATATATATATATATATATATATATATATATATATATATATATATATATATATATATATATATATATATATATATATATATATATGCTGATAACCACAAGGAAAGAAGAAAACACGAAGTTCCCAAGCGCTTTCGTGTTTCACATCTTCAGGGGTGAGTACAGTCTGTACTCACCCCTGAAGATGTGAATTACACGAAAGCGCTTGGGAACTTCGTGTTTTCTTCTTTCCTTGTGGTTATCAGCATATACCTAGATCACGCGCACCTACTGTGATTTACTTGCATATATATATATATATATCTAATGTAGATCCACACTGGAAACGTGGATTAAACAGCACAAGTACAATATTAGAACAGCATCTGAAAGCAGTGCACTGTTCGTTCATATAAGGAACAATAATCATCCCATAGATTGGGTAAACAGTTCAGAAGTGTATAAATCATCATGTGTCACAGAAAGACTTCTGGTTGAAGCAAGTTTAATTAGATAATTGAATTCTATAAACCTTAGTGATGGTGAGTACAAAACTGATATGTTACAAAAATTTATTTGTCAGTGGCCAAGGTTTTGACCTGACTTAACGTGACTAGTTATGTCGCCCTTTCTTTTAAGCTCCTCTTATGTTTGCGGTGGTGTTGGTGTGTGGATTAGTGGATGGAATTTTTTTGACTCTACCTTATGTTTTGTAAGGTCACCCTGTGTACATAAGCCTCTCTCAGTCCTTGTAACTTAGTTGCCTCTGAAGATGTCTTGAATAAAGACGAAAGCTAAGGTGCTCCATTGTTTCGTCTTTCCCTGTGTGATTTTATATATAATGGTGCAGCCGATCATGTATACTAAGACATTTCATAATAAGAGAAAGAGGAGAAGATTGACCAAATATAAGATAATTACGACTGGCCAAAAGCTATTTAATTCATTACCATGATAGTTTTTAAAAATGTATCAATGGTGAATGGAATCTAAGGACGCCACACATATACAGTATTTCCTAAAGAACTTTGTCTATTACCTCTGACACTTGTACAGAAAGCAATATTACATTAATAAATATTAATACCCCCCTCAAAAAACAATTATGCAAAATTTTAAACGTAAAGCCATTTCCCACATTGTTTGCGGCTCAGTATTGCTTCAGCTAACTTGGCCTCACTTTTGTTCGGGAAGCGGAGATGAAGTTTATTTGTACCTGCTAGTAATAAAGTGAGACAAGTTGTGTATACATAAAAGTCTTGGCGGGAAGCAGAAGTTCCATAAACACCGAAAATAGTTGAGTGTACTTATCCTCAGAGACTCACCAGCACAACTCTCTACCCTGAACGCGTATTACACTTCTGTCGTAATTAAACACGCTGATAGTACATGAAAAATATATACATACATACATAACCAAGACAATTTATACTCTGTAGTCTGTATTACATCGACGTAAATGCTATTAGGAGAATAAAGAGGAAAACTGTACGACGTTTTGGATAAAGAAAATGACAAAACGTATTTTCAGAGTTTGTAACATTCGCTTTTGTAATGGTGTAAGCGCTGGCTATCACCTCCACAACACTGAACCTCATATGAACCGACAACGGGATAGGAGTTACGAGATATCAATACTCATCTAACAACTGGGTCAGCCTCCAGCACAACCGTCACAACACCGACCTACCGATACCTTTGTTACTCCCTTAACATGAAGAATAAACCTTGATGTAGACTGTATATTCTGACCGTGAAATTCGGGTTTTAAAAGTAGCATTTCCTTAGAGGTTAGAACTGATTTTGGTGGCATGATAGGAGAGGGAACGTGGTGTATCCCGTCAGCTATACCATGGTAGGCAGTGATAATTTGTATAGTATCTGTGGCATGATAGGTCGAGGGAGCTGGTTTATCACACTCACTTAACACTCATAAGAACATCATCATTTACTAGGTTCATTAATTGTAATCTAGGTTCAACGCCTGCAATCTAAGTTCAACGCTTGTAATCTGTGTTCAACGCTTGCAATCTGGATTCATCGCTTACAATCTGGGTTCATCACTTTCAATATTCAGTACACTTCATTTGTATCTGCTTATCAAAAGTTTCCAATACCTACATTATGTAAATTGAATCATATATAAATTCTGGTTAGACTAAATTTTTTTCCTAGGGGTATTTTATACTTCGTCACTCTCCATGATGCTAAATTACCTTTGTGTAGTTATTCCCGTCTGTTTGTTAAAGGTAATCTCCCAACCGGCTTAAAATGTAAATCCCACATATACCTCATTGGAAAGGACTTGGATCAGGGAGTGTGTTGGTGATATAAAAGAGAAGATTATTCCTGAAACACAATATCATAACAGTTTGGGATTGCGAAACTATTGTAAAATTAACTGATCGAAACTATTTGGATTTTAGGTAACTAGAGAGTAACTAGGTATTGTTGTTTAATATATTATAAGTCCTTTAAGAACGAGGATATCACAGCTACAATTACTAAAGTTAATTACGAGAGAACATTTAAAATTATCGTTCGAAAGTTACAACATCGTGGTGCATTTTATTCATTTTGCAAAGGGAATTCATCAATAACTAGTCCAGTTAGGCTCACAGAAGGTGAATCTTGCCCTCAGTGTTGAGTAACTGTGTGTCTGGGAGCCATAACCCAAGTCTGGCGGGAAACTTGTCCCAACACAAACGTGCTCTCATCTTGAAAATCCAAAGCAAACTCACCGACGCACAAGGCTGTCTCCTGACGAACGAAGAGTATGATAATTAACAAAAAGAAGATGTTTTAGAAAGGCCCGTCTTCCTAATTTTTGTAAGAATGATCAAATTCAAAACAGTAATCCTTTATCCGGTTTGGAACACAGGCAAACTTTAGTTCATAAACAGATTAGATTGTCAAAGTCGATCCCACTTACTGACTCATCAAAGAGATTCTAATTGGGTCATAACAAGACAAACTCTGACTTCATAAAGCTTTAAGGCGGGGAAAACTGTCTTATCTTGAGAAAACACTATGACTTTTTTGACACATCCATCTTCATAACATTCTCATAAGTACAGAGTAAGATATTAAAACATTAAAAGCGTTTACACTAAGTTGGAGCAGGTGGTGTATCCAGGATAGATCAGTCACACCCAAAATAGAAACAACTGGGACTGAATGAAGCTCTGTTGTTACTGTTGATTTGGGTTACAACAGGACATTGGGCTGGAGTGCTGTACAGGGCTGGAGTGCTGTACAGGGCTGGAGTGCTGTACAGGGCTGGAGTGCTGTACAGGGCTATTGTGGTACAGGACGCGTTAGTATTTGTCCTTAAAATCCAACATATATTTCTAAGCTCCTTTCCAGGTCCCTGCTTATAGGTGAAATAAATTATATGGATCTTAACTCATAGACATAGCTTGAAGTGTAATACGAGTCACTTTGTAAAGGCATATTTGTATTAACTGGATGCGCCAGATCATCGACCGGCGTAGACAACTGCAAAGCTGTCTGTATGTAACCAGTCTTCTCCCAAATTACTTAACGCATAGGAGCCATTTATACCTCACCTGAAAATTATTACATTAAGAATTGTCGATGATAAAAGGTGTAGCAGGAGGCAAGGGGGAGGTGGGAACTCATGTCCGCATGAGGGTATATATACCACACACATGACTTAATGAGCTCAGGGGTTCTTGGTCTGATCTTTGATGAGATAAGTATGAAGACTCTGGGCCATGGCAAGTATTGTAAGTTGTGATAATTGCTTGAGAGAGAGAGAGAGAGAGAGAGAGAGAGAGAGAGAGAGAGAGAGAGAGAGAGAGAGAGAGAGAGAGAGAGAGAGAGAGAGAGAGAGAGAGAGAGAGAGAGAGAGAGAGAGAGAGAGAGAGAGTTGGTTTTTACTACATAATACAAGGAATAAAGAAAACTGTTGCAAAGTCTCGCATGAAACTATCTTGTGTAGAAACCATCTTGTTGATGGCATGTAGTGTGTGATTACTACAGGTGTTGCACGCGGACGACTCCAATGAATGGACGCTGCAGATTAAGTTCGCTACCATAAGGGACTCGGGCATCTACGAGTGTCACGTCAACTCCGACCCCAAGATTAGCCGCCAGGTGGCCCTACTTGTCAGAGGTAAAGACTCTCTTCATTCCCTCAGCTGCCCTCCTTCCCATCCTTCTTTAGCCTCTTCACATCTGTCCGCTTCTTCTTCACCCTTCCTTATCTCCATGACTCTCCACACTTCCCTTTTCCTTGCCACCTCCCCTCATTTTCCTAATCCACATTATCTACATATTTTACTTAGCCTCCCTTCACTTCCCTTCCCTTCCTCGCCTCACTAAGTCCCCTTCGTCTCATTATCCCTCTGTCTCTCTATACCGTCCTTATACATTTCTCGTTCATTTTCTAACTACTTCACTCTTCTGTGCCTCTTTACCGCTCCTTCTCCATCGCCTAACTATAAATGCCCTATTCCAAGGTCTTATGGGGTCTGTGGTAGTGGTTTATAGCGAACAATACCACGCTAATTTGTCCATTTGTTTTCATTTTAAGCAGCAGTAATCACACAGTACCTCCCTTCTCGTGGATAAGTAATGTTCAGCAATGTTCAGTATAGATCTGTGGGAAAATCTTATAAATGGCCAACAATCACGCTTCTCACCACAGCCTGACCTCACCGTACCATAATCCGGCCTCACAGTACCATAGTCCGATCTCATAGTACGACAGTCTGACCTCACAGTACCACAAGCCGACCTCATAGTACCACAGTCTGACCTCACAGTACCACAAGCCAACCTCATAGTACCATAGCCCGACCTCATAGTACCACAGCCTGACCTCACAGTACCACAGTCTGACCTCACAGTACCACAAGCCAACCTCATAGTACCACAGTCTGACCTCACAGTACAATAACCCGGCATCACAGTACCATAGCCCGACCTCATAGTACCACAGCCTGACCTCACAGTACCACAGTCTGACCTCACAATACCACAGCCCAGACTTCTGCTGCAGTACCACAGCCTGACCTCACAGTGCCACAGTCTGACCCTCACAATACCACAGCCCGACCTCATAGTACCACAGCCTGACCTCACAGTACCACAGTCTGACCCTCACACGCTCACAGCCTGACCACAGTACCACAGCCCGACCTCATACAGTACCAGCCAGCCTGACCTCAGTGCCACAGTCTGACCTCACAGGTCACAGCCTGACCTCACAGTGTCACAGCCTGACCTCACAGTGCCACAGCGTCTGACCTCACAGTATCACAGCCTGACCTCACAGTGCCACAGTCTGACTCCTCACAGTGCCACAGTCTGACTCCTCACAGTGCCACAGTCTGACCTCACAGTACCACAGCCCGACCTCACAGTGCCACAGTCTGACCTCACAGTGCCACAGTCTGATCTCACAGTACCCACACCCTGGCCTTACAGTGCCATACAGCTTTGACTTCACAGTGCCACATTCTTTATCTCACAGTACCACAGCTCGACCTCTCATGAAACACAGCCCGGCCTCACAGTACCACGGCCCGACTACAGTACCACAGCCAGGACCACACAGTACCCCAGTCTGACCCTACAGTACCACAGTCTGACCTCACAGTACCACAGCTCGACCTCACAGTACCACAGCCCGACCTCACAGTACCACAGTCTGACCTCACAGTACCACAGTCTGACCTCACAGTACCACAGTCTGACCTCACAGTACCACAGCTCGACCTCACAGTACCACAGCCCTGCCTCACAGTATCACAGCCCTGCCTCACAGTACCACAGCCCGGCCTCATAGAACCCCTTCTTTCTCCCTTCACAGAACATAGCCAGCTGGACGACCCTGCCTTCATGGGCATAACCACCACCACAACACATCCAAGTAAGTACGTTTAGTTTAGTTTAGGTTAGGTTAGGTTAGGTTAGGTTAGGTTATGTTAGTTTAGGTTAGGTTAGTTTAGGTTAGGTTAGGTTAGGTTAGGTTAGGTTAGGTTAGGTTTGATAGTTAAAAGTTAGAACAATAAAATATCATAAAAAAATCAGTCAGGTCTTTCAGGTTTTGCATATTAATATATATATTTTCCTTTTGTTATCACAATTTAAAAATAGGTTAAGACATTGAAATAGATGTAAATAGGCATATGAATATCTACCATCGTTAAATATATGATTATCTATTTACCATATGGAGATAAATGAAAAATATCCATCCAGCAGTAAATTCGGACATTGAATCTCTCTTGTGTGTGTGTGTGTGTGTGTGTGTGTGTGTGTGTGTGTGTGTGTGTGTGTGTGTGTGTGTGTGTGTGTGTGTGTGTGTGTGTGTGTGTGTGTGTGTGTGCAGCGCCGGTGGTGTTGATCGAGGGCCCAGCAGAGCGACACATCCAGGCTGGCAGCGTCCTCACCCTCACCTGCCTCATCCACCACCCTCCCCGTCAGGCCCCCGCCCATGTTCTCTGGTTCCATGGCACAACTAACATCGACTATGACTCTCCCCGTGGCGGTGTATCCATCCAGGTAGGTGACCTTTATCATACTTCAGGGTGGCTGTATCATACTTCAGGTGGCTGTATCATACTTCAGGTGGCTGTATCATACTCCAGGTGGCTGTATCATACTCCAGGTATTGCATCATACTTCAGGTGGCTGTGCATCATACCCAGGTGGCTGTATCATACCCTTTCAGGTGGCTGTATCATACTTCAGGTGGCTGTATCATACTCCAGGTGGCTGCATCATACTTCAGGTGGCTGTATCATACTTCAGGTGGCTGTATCATACTCTTCAGGTGGCTGTATCATACTCCAGGTGGCTGCATCACTTCAGGTGGCTGTATCATATTTCAGGTGGCCGTATCATACTCCAGGTGGCTGTATCATACTTCAGGTGGCTGTATCATACTTCAGGTGGCTGTATCATACTTCAGGTGGCTGTATCATACTTCAGGGTGGCTGTATCATACTCCAGGTGGCTGTATCAAACTTCAGGTGGCTGTATCATATTTCAGGTGGCTGTATCATATTTCAGGTGGCTCTATCATACTCCAGGTGGCTGTATCATACTTCAGGTGGCTGTATCATACTTCAGGTGGCTGTATCATACTTCAGGTGGCTGCATCATATCTCGAAATGTCAGGAAGGCAGGTGCATCTACACGCCCAGGTATATAAAAAGTCCAATGGAAACACGCACATTCACAAAAAAGTCAAATGCAAACACACTCACTAAAATTCCAATCGAAAAACAAAAAATCTATTAGAAAAAACAAACAAAAAGTTCAGTAGAAACAATCTCAAAATTCCAATGGTAACAAACTCACTAAAAGTCCAATGTAAACACGCACACTCACAAAAGTCCAATGGGGAGACACACTCACAAAAAGTCCATTGGAAAACACTCACAGAAAGTCCAATGGAAACACTCACAAAAATCCAATGAACACTCACTCACAAAAGTTCAATGTAAACACGCACACTCACAAAAAGTCCAATGGAAACACACTCACAAAAGTCCAATGGAAACACAAAGTTAGAAAAATAGAAAAAAAAATATATCAACATTTCTCGGAACTACGGGGAGCATTTCGTACAAGGCTGTGTTTACCATATAGTTGTGATATATGAATGTCTGCCCCATCTTACGTCTTAATCCCATTCCTCACCTTTCTGGCCTCTGTCTTCCCGTCACCTCCCTACAGACACACATGTTTCCCTCACCTATTCAACACCAAGTCTTCCCGCCACCTCCCTACAGACACACATGTTTCCCTCACCCATTCAACACCTTTCTGGCCTCTGTCTTCCCGTCACCTCCCTACAGACACACATGTTTCCCTCACCTATTCAACACTATGTCTTCCCGTCACCTCCCTACAGACACACATGTTTCCCTCACCCATTCAACACCTTTCTGGCCTCTGTCTTCCCGTCACCTCCCTACAGACACATAAGTTTACCTCAACTTTAAGTCAATCTCTCACTCACTCCAAGAAGCTGTTGTAACACATCACTGGCTCCGCCACGCTCATCCCTCCACACTGAGAATTTCCTTCTATATTAATTGAAGCGAGTCCTCTCTCTCTCTCTCTCTCTCTCTCTCTCTCTCTCTCTCTCTCTCTCTCTCTCTCTCTGTTATCGTATCATTCCTCTCCCATAATTTCCTCTCGTTCACCCTCTCTCTCTCCCCTTCTCTCAACCGCAGCCACTTCTCCTTCACACTCTCCCAACTACAGAATCTCTCGTTTACCCTCTCTCTCTTTCTACCGCAGTTACCTCTCTCTTACCCTCTCTCTACCGCAGTTACCTCTCTCTCTTACCCTCTCTCTACCGCAGTTACCTCTCTCTCACCCTCCTTCTACCACAGTTACCTCTCTCTCACCCTCTCTCTACCGCAGTTACTTCTCTCTCACCCTATCTACCGCAGTGACCTCTCTCTCACCCTCCCTCTACCGCAGTGACCTCTCTCTCACCCTCCTTCTACCACAGTAACCTCTCTCTCACCCTCTCTCTACCGCAGTTACCTCACTCTCGACCCTCTCTCTCATACCGCAGTGACTCTCTCTCTCACCCTCTCTACCGCAGTTACCTCACTCTCAACCCCTCTCTACCGCAGTGACCTCTCTCTCACCCTCTCTACCGCAGTTACCTCACTCTCAACCCCTCTCTACCGCAGTTACCTCTCTCTCACCCTCTCCCTCGCAGTACCACTCCGCGCCTCCTTCACCGCCTTGTGTCTCCCCACAGACGGAGAAATTCCCCCGTAAGACCCGGAGTCAGGTGATGCTCTCCAATGTGCGAGACTCTGATTCTGGGGAGTACAGCTGCAGCCCCTCCGACCTGCCCCCCACCGTCATCACCGTCCACGTCCAGCACGGTGGGTTCCTGCGGGCTCTAGGTGTCAGGGGCTACTTATTCACGGTATCGGGAAGCTTTATTTTTTTTTTACGATTTGTAGGAATGTTACCTACGCGGACCTTAAGCTAAAATCTTCATCGGTAAGGAGGGTTTTGCTGGCCACTATCATGGGACATATATCCTCAGTATGGTAAGACATATCCTGGGTGTTATAGGGCATATCCTACAAAACAAAAAGGTTTGCATATCAAGAGGGTATTCCGAGTGTCATTGGATATATGCTTAGAGGTATGGAGCGTCCTAATTACTATGCATCGTCGCGTAGCAGCTCAGGAAGAGTTGATCAACGTTAAAAAACTATTATCGGATGTTTATTTTAAGTGTTTTTCTCGGCTGTTTGTGATTCAACAATTCGTAGGTGTTCAGACGAGCCGTGGATCAGACAAGACTAGTGCTTCCCCTGACTGAAACTGGCAGCAATTAATTATTTTCTTTTGTATAAGCTGCCAATTTGTAAGACATAAATCTACTCCCTTTATATGTGCTAATCCATACGAGTAGACTACTGTTTATAAGAGGCTAGTGTAGAGATTAACTCGAGGCTTGGTGTTGGGCCCCGTGTTCATTTGCTATTCCGGGCTTAGAGTTAACCACGCGGGAAGGGTTTATAAGGACACCCCAACAAAACCTTGAAAGATCCCTAAATCCTGCCCAAACTTTAATATCACATTGTGTAGGCCATTTAATCTACATTAATGGTGATGTAGTGTCTTGGAGAACAAAACCACACACACATAGAGGGAAGAATAAGGATGAACAGTGCAGTAATCAATTAATTTAAGGAGGAAGCTCTTACCACCGTCCGCCGCCACCGCTCTGACTGGTGTTGATGTATGTTGAATTATACGGGTAAAGTATTTCATTCATTGTAAGGATATTCGGTCACCCTTATTTCATTAACTAGGCATACATTATATACGGGATGAGTTTATATTAATAAAATATATAGAATTATCTATGACTTAAATTTTTGGATGACACGATAGAAAACGGACATTCTCACAGAACTTGTAATGTCACAGGTAAACTAAAATATATCCTAAAATTTAAACTTATTCATAGTTATAAAATAAATTAATTTAATGCATCTTTAAGAGTGAGAGTGAGTGAGTAGGTAGTAGGCAGCTACCAAACAGGGAGGTACTACTGCCTGGGAAGATATTGGAAGCATAATGTGTTGTCTAATGGTAGACCCTGCTGCCATATGGCATCACGAAAATTGTGACCAAGTCCCAGGTTGCTGATTTGACTTTCTGCTTCATTTACACACAATTGCAGGGTCTCAATTGTTTCTCTTGCCATTGACAACACAACATACATATATCGTTTCTCTCTTTTGATCTTTTTTTTTCATTTTTGTATTTATAGTTCATTATTATTAATATTATTATTATTATAGTTACTGTATTATTATCATCATTATTTTATTATTTAATTTTTGTTTGTTTAATCATAAATTTTATTTATTATGAATTATTATGAATTATTATTTATTATTATTATTATTATTATTATTATTATTATTATTATTATTATTATTATTATTATTATTATTATTATTATTATTATTATTATTATTACATTTTCGCCCCCCAGGCCCCGATGTGGGTCAGTGACCTGTGTCCGGGGGGGCTAATCCCCATAAAAAAAATAAAAACTATAAGCAACTGCATGAAATCATATACAACATAAAAAAAAAACAATTAATATACGAGATATTATGACAGCATCGCCAACTTAGATAAACTGCGACATTCGACATCGTCTTCACTACCTCTAAAGAATCCTCGTAAATATGGCTGACGAATAGCATCGAAATTCCATAGAAATGAGGAATATATCAGAGACAATCATCGTACTAGTGAACCCGGCCACTGGGCAGGAGCGAACATATTCTTAGATGAAATAACAAATTTACTGATTAAGTAAGACAAACTTAGGTGTAAACAGTGAGTGTTTTTTTTCCGCACGGGGCATCACTGCCACTTAAGAGTAACTAATATGTGAACTGTGTATTCACAGGGCAGCATCAAGCAGCTGTGCAGCAAGGAGGACTGAGCGCCGCACCCGTCGCCAACCCCGTCACCCACCTCCTCCTCCTGCTGCTGCTGATGATGCTGCAACGAGTCAAGACATGGCAGTGAGCGGCAGAGCTGTCACCACCACCACGACCCAGCTGTGAGGGTGAACTCCCAGGCTATCACCACCATAATGGAGGAAGACCTGGACGTGAGGGTGGAACTACCAGATCATCACCATTATCCCCCTCAATCATAATGCTTGATGACCTGGGTGTATATTATGAGCTGCCAGGTCATCCCTACCATTAACGTAGGTGAACCCTTGGCTGTGAGGATGTCACTGTCACACCACCACCTTCAGCACAGCATGTAAGGGACGGCGCCACAAACTAGAGATGAAGGATATCATAAAGGTATCGCCTACTAAGAAAACAGGTAAGGTGCTATTAAAATAAAACTTAAGTTGGGTAGAGACGATCATTATATTGAGGATCTATCACAAGGGACGGTGGTGATGAGTCAGGAAAAGTTGGCCCAGCGTAACTTGTGGCATTTGAAAACATGACTGGGCGTCTAAGAGTGGCCCAGACACCTGTAGTACGTGACACAGATGTTAATTACGAGTTTGGGACCAACTGAGTCAAGAACAGATGGTGACGTCGTAACAGATAAAGATATATTATGACTTACAAATAGCAAGTGTGTTAGGTCAGACAGACAAACTCTATTGGGGAAAGTCGTGAGTGTTGGGGGTGGTTCACTGGATGGTATTTTCACTATGAATTGCCTCGATGTTCAAAATATTCACCCAGGGTCATCAACATATTTTTTGTGTATTTACAAACTTGTATAAAGCATATGAATAAGGAAATTTCTATCAAGAGATGTAGTATTTTTTGAACCTTGAAGAATATGAATTTATTTGAAATTGTATTTACGTTTTCAATATAAGTGTAAATATATATATATAATCTGTACTTATGGCTTTCATATTGTTGACTGTGTACTTAATTATACAGGAACTAATTTAGAATTATAGTTCTTGTTTGAGTTGTGAGTGATAATTCCTCTAAACTACCTGAAGCTCATGACAGTATTTTGTGTATAGGAAATTTTTTGTCTGGATGTTTATTGAATGTCTAGTACCTAGGACTGAGCCAGCCACTGAGAAGTGTCTCGTCATCTTTATACTTATAGGTTTGCTACATCACACAGGACCTTGACTTACTGGCTCACACGATTAAGTTCTGAGCCTCAGTCACAACACAGAATTACTCTTATCTTAAAACTAGTCTATCATAACACAGTAGTTCCTGTTAGGTTATGTTGATGTAAAGATCATTTATGTGATTAACTGATAACAGCGATGAGTACGACCAATAATTTAAGTATCATATAAAAAAAATAATGTTTGAAGATTAAAATGGAAAGTAAGTATATATATATATATATATATATATATATATATATATATATATATATATATATATATATATATATATATATATATATATATATATATATATATATATATATAATTTCACAATGAAAACGTGGATAAGATAAATCTTGATAAAATCACACGTGTGATTTTATCAAGATTTATATATATATATATATATATATATATATATATATATATATATATATATATATATATATATATATATATATATATATTTCATGTAATTTCACAATGAAAACGTGGATAAGATAAATCTTGATAAAATCACACGTGTGATTTTATCAAGATATATATATATATATATATATATATATATATATATATATATATATATATATATATATATATATATATATATATATATATATATATCTGTGTGTGTGTGAGGAGGGCCAAGGATGTCTTCCTCCGTCAGAGATTAAATTGGAATTGGTCACCTTCCAGAGAGTTGATTATGTTGTCAGCTGTCAGCCGTCAGCGTAGGACACGACACCTTAATTTTGATACAAGTTTTCAATTTTCTAGAAGGTTTAAAAAAAATAGAAACAGATTCTTCTTGATAATAATGTTATATACACATGATGCTAGAACGACGCTCAAGTGTTGATTCACCAAGAAATTAGGACAGTTTAGGTTATGATCTTTAACACATCTATTAATTATCTCTGTTCATTCAACAACTCTCTCTCACGACCAACCAGGCGGTAGACGCTAACAAACAGTCGGGTTCACAATCACTGCTGGGTGAGACTTGGCTCAAAACATAATAGTTGTGTACATGGTAATAACTTCATCAAATAAATATTTTCGTAGATAACATTCGTTTTATTATTTAGTGTTCCTCTGTGTGTTTGCGTCTCATGGATCTATACTTGAATTGGATCTTTATATCAATCCTCTTCCCTTCCCTTCCAGTCCCTCAGAAAAGCCTCGCCCCTTTCCCTTCCCTCAGATAATTCTCCCACCCTTCCCCTCCAGCCATAACCCCCCAACCCTCCTCCTTCCCTCCCAACTACAACTCTTTCCCTCCAGCTCCATAGACACATAGACAAAGCCTCTCTCCCTGTCCCCCCCTCCCTCACCCATACTCTCTGCTCCTCCCTCCCTCCCTCCCTCCCTCCCTCCCTTCCTCCACCACCACCAAAACTCTCTCCCTCACTCCCTGACCCCAACTACCTGTACAGTACATCTCTTTCCTCCTTGCACCATCGACAATCTTCCTCTCTTCTCCCCTCACATCCTTATTTACTCCTTCTTCCCTCCCTCCCTCTCTCCACTACAGTGTATTAGCTCTCAGAGTGACCTACTGGGTAGTCCACAAGGGAGGACTTTTACTCTGTTACTGCTTCCAATACTTCAAGTCTAGTTAAACAGATTTTATCCTTTTAACTACGGATAAAAGGCGATGAACGAGACCTCGTAAGACATATTGCAGCTGGTCAAAAATATTACGACCGCAGCAAAATAATTTACCTTGAAAATATCCATAAATTAGCAGCTGTGGTCCACACGCCAACAACATTGTACCACAACATAACCAGTTATGGACGATTAAGCTCCGCTAATCGCCACTTGTCGCCGCCACACAACAGCGACACAATGTCCTCAGGAACTCAGGGGTTGGTACATTAAGTGAGCATTGATCGAGCTGTTGCTTGGACCTAGTTTGAATTGTTTTCCAAAGTCTCCACCAGGGGAGCAATTTTACACAACCCTGTATAGATTAACATGCAGCACATAACGGTCACTAAGTGCTTCAACTCGGGACTGACATGTTCTGGTGGTCACGAGAGTCGCTGGCCAGACTGGTGGAGTACCTTGGAAAAGGGTAAACGAAAACCAAACTAATGTTGACTTTCATTATATCGACCCTAACACGAGTATAGATCTATGACATAGTAAAGTATTATAACTTTTACGTTACGTGCAATTTTAAAATAGAAAACAAGAATACAATTGCAGATATATATATATATATATATATATACAATATCATGATGGATCACTTGTTTCTCGGGTCGTTATTGGTGAGGGTGGCGGCGCCTACATGCTTTACACTGAATTATTTGTTAAGCGTGCTAGTAGAGGCAGTAATACTGTACTGACCACATACAGTATAACCGTAAAGTGGTTACAAAAGTTAAACAATAACTATTATTTTCATCATCATCATTATTATAGACCAAAATTAATTTTCATAAAAAAGAACTTTTAGAAATAAGGGCAATACTGATGATGATGATGATGATGATGATGATAATTTCAATAGAAGTGAGACCCATTTGTCATGGGTTGCGTTGGGCCTACCCACGCAACCCAGCTCCAATGTTTGTTTTACGGGAAATAAGGCACCAGGCGAGCCGTGACTCCGTCATCACTATTAGCGGGTATGCGAGCCAGTCTATGGAGGGGGGGGGGGTGATTGAGTCAGTGTTGTATTGCCCATCGTGTGTCTCGCCCAAAACCACAATTTTAGCAAGTAGACCCTAGATCAAGGGTTAGTTAAGACGTCGTCATCCCCCCCTTCCTTAAGGGAACGAGACGCGACACAGAGTCCGATCACAAAGCTTTGATATTCCCCGTGCAAAGAAGATCATGTGTGAAGGTCTGGTTGCAACAAAAGCAATCCAGGCTGGACGAGTGAACCTATGTGGTTAATCAAGTCACCTTACCAGTTCTCCTGCGCGACGCCGTCTACAATGACTGTCAGTGACACGAGACTTTGTGTGCTAACCCAAGGTTTGTTATTCCCGGTGGAAAGATCACGTGTGAAGGCCTGGTTGCAACAAGAGCGATCCAGGCTGGCAGAGCATGTATCACTTGAGGAATTAAGGCTCTGTTAAGTCATACCCATAATATAGTAATCAATTGTGCGTCCCCAGGTTGAAATTCCCTGTTTACAAGATTAATTTTATTACGGCGTGAATGTGAGTCACTCATATATCCATGCAAATTGTAAATCATTGTTTGAAAGCTTGCAAAATAAACGTAAGTGCAATTATGTCCGTATCCGTGATCCCCATCTTATTATTACAAAAGGTAATGATTGATTGGTTATGACAAAGTATAACCAATAACTTAGATTGATGTTGGAAATTAATGAAATTCATTAAATCATCATTTATCAAGAATAAATCACATGAAATGTCGGGTGGTGGAGTGAATTGCTAGGTAGATACACCATAATCTCCTGTAAGTAACCAGTGTGAAGGTATCAGACTCTGAGGTAAGAAATTAAGAAACACATATACACACAACCATCCCCATAATTCCGTGACACCACAATAATGACTGCTCGCTAAGGACGGCATAGACACCTCACACTGTTAATAATGAAGCCTTCGAGACACAAGGAAGCAGCGTCACCAGCACTACACTCGATTACCTTCACTTCCCTAACTATAAAATCAGGTACATTTTTGCAGCTTAGTTGACTGGGAGTACTTGGGATCGAACCAGTTACTCCCAGAACTTGAAGTGAGCACTGTCTCCACTCAGCCGGTGCACCTTAATGTTGTTACTAACGTCAGTGAAATTGAGGAAATATAGGGAAGTATTACCATCAATACTCTCAGCGAATATAAAATATTTCTTCCTATTGATATTAACTAAGCAACGTCGTCACAACAGCCTTAGAGGTCATGGAACAAGTGTAATGATAAGTACAGATTTGATGCAAATTTAAAACTGTTAACTGCAATTCTTAATATATATTTAAGCAATTTTGTATAAGAATATGAAATGTTTAGCTGTGTTAAATCAAGCTAATTCTCACCTTTCACGGCGGCCTGACCTGAAAATGTTCTGTTGCTCGTGGCGGGGTCTTTCAAGCGTGCCTTAATTCACCCAATGACCGAGTCTTGTTAAATCCTGAGCTTAAAATGTTTAACACACTGAGAGAAAAGTTTTTATTTTATTTACATCGTGTTTGTATTTATTTCTCGTTGAATTTACAGTATTATTTTTTAATTATCTTGTGTGTTTTTTCGAGCTTATCATCACTGTAACCTATACGTTGACACACACACACACACAGGCACTGCAGGTTATTCCTTGTCATTCATTCATATTCGCTGACGTATATAACAGATGTGTTCAGCAATGGTATTCCTCTCCCAAAGCAACCCAGCATCACACATCATCATGGCATGTTCATCACCAGAAATAACTCAAATGTTCTCTTCACATTAAAGCAAATTTTCTCTGATGTTATATTAAGAAATATATTTTGTCTTAATTCTCATGGTATTAAATATTTATGTAACGAAATCAAAAAAAAAGATTAAACAAGATTATATGAAATTACAGAAATATGATTCTATCTTTATTTTAAGAAGTTATAGTTTAGCGTTAAAGGTGACTCGGTGAACAGTGTTTCAGAAACTATGAACTGTGGAGATACTCAAATACCCGTAAATAAAACAACCATGTAACTCATAGAACGGATTTGTTTTTTTCTTTGGTAAATGCACAAACGTGGTGTGGTGTAGAAACTAGACCGACGAACGATGCTTAATAAACCTGACAGCGAAAACAGCTAAATCTAAAAACAACAACAATAAATACGAGAAATTGTCAGGATAACAACAGTAGTTCTAAAATTTAGTATGAACTTTAAAAACAATAGCGCTGAATGAGCCATCTGTCTACACGTTCATGGGAGGGGGGGAGGGGTGGGTGGTGGGGGGGTGGGGGGGAGGAGGTGGGGTGGTGAGGGGATGGGGGGTGGAGGGATTACAAATTAAGACTAAACTTATAAATCACCTCATCTAATCCCTGCTATTAATTAATTAATCCCTTAACATAAATAACCTCAGGAGTGAATTTTACCTGTGATTGTCGTCAGAATTATTTCGTCTAGGAACAGAGAGAGAAATCTATCCCGACTACGACTATCATAAGAGACAATTCATGTTCTGGAGACTAAGACAAATAAGAAGGCATTTCAGATGAGTGTTCATTG